CACAATCAGAGACAACTGGTCACAACACTAAACAATCACAATCAGAGACAACTGGTCACAACACTAAACAATAAACAATCAGAGACAACACTAAACAATCACAATCAGAGACAACTGGTCACAACACTAAACAATCACAATCAGAGACAACTGGTCACAACACTAAACAATCACAATCAGAGACAAAACTGGTCACAACACTAAACAATCAGAGACAACTGGTCACAACACTAAACAATCATAATCAGAGACAAAACTGGTCACAACACTAAACAATCACAGACAACTGGTCACAACACTAAACAATCAAAATCAGAGACAAAACTGGTCACAACACTAAACAATCAGAGACAACTGGTCACAACACTAAACAATCATAATCAGAGACAAAACTGGTCACAACACTAAACAATAAGAGACAACTGGTCACAACACTAAACAATCAAAATCAGAGACAAAACTGGTCACAACACTAAACAATCACAATCAGAGACAACTAGTCACAACACTAAACAATCAGAGATAACTGGTCACAACACTAAACAATAAGAGACAACTGGTCACAACACTAAACAATCATAATCAGAGACAAAACTGGTCACAACACTAAACAATCAGAGACAACTGGTCACAACACTAAACAATCATAATCAGAGACAAAACTGGTCACAACACTAAACAATGTGTCAACAGATTCATACTAAGAGAAAAGTGCAGAAGAACACAGAGTTAACAATATGCAGTTAGAATGTGACTACAAAAACAGACAAAACTATTTTTAAAACAATTTTTTTAAACCAACAGTACATCATGTGACAGAAACGTGCAGCAAAATGAGGCAACACAAACAAACTTGTAGCAAAACATGCGACACAAACAGAAACTTGTAGCAAAACAGGGCAACACAAACACAAACTTGCAGGAAAACAGGGCAACACAAACAGAAACTTGCAACAAAACAGGGCAACACAAACAGAAACTTGCAGCAAAACACGTGACACAAACAGAAACTTGTAGCAAAACACGTGACACAAACAGAAACTTGTAGCAAAACAGGGCAACACAAACAGAAACTTGCAGGAAAACAGGGCAACAGAAACAGAAACTTGCAACAAAACAGGGCAACAGAAACAGAAACTTGAAACAAAACAGGGCAACACAAACAGAAACTTGCAGCAAAACACGTGACACAAACAGAAACTTGCAGGAAAACAGGGCAACACAAACAGAAACTTGCAGGAAAACAGGGCGACACAAACAAACTTGTAGCAAAACAGGGCAACACAAACAGAAACTTGCAGTAAAACAGGGCGACACAAACAGAAACTTGCAGCAAAACAGGGCGACACAAACAGAAACTTGCAGCAAAACAGGGCGACACAAACAGAAACTTGCCGCAAAACAGGGCGACACAAACAGAAACTTGCAGCAAAACACATGAAACAAACAGAAACTTGCAGCAAAACCAGCAACATAATTAACCAGAGAAAAAAAATGCAGCAAATTAGATACCAGTAGACTCACTGACACCCTAAACGTAATAATCAAGACAATCAAGGCAATATCGGATTTTAAAAAAAAAAAAAACCTAAATGAAAGAGCCACACACAATGCAGCATGCGTGTGCGTCCAATCACAGCCTCACATTTGTTATATAAGCTTATTTCTCATAGACTATATGTGTATATATATTCCAAACAAATAATAGTAAAAGTATAATTTTCACGTAGGTCAATATACACAGATATATATATATATATATATTCTTGTCGCCTATGCTTTAACTAAAAGTATACTGCCTTTTTTCATGTTAAACAATGTATTTTTCTCCCCATACAAATACCACTAAACATGTGTCCAGCCCATTCTTTTCTCTCAATATAATTATTACTATGACCACATTTATTTCTCTGCACACAATCACTTTTCTCCACATACACAATCACCACATTCAACTCTCTACAAACAATCATCACTACCGTCACATTCATTTCTCTCCACACAATCATCACTACCAGCACATTCATTTCTCTGCACACATTCATTTCTCTGCACACAATCATTTCTCTGCACACAATCATCACTGATATCTGGTGTCCCTGGCCTGACCTCCCATAAATACCAATCCTCTTCTTCACATTTACCGACTCTAAACTGCAGCAGAAAGTTCTGGTTGTTCATCCACTTCTGGACTTTAGTTTGTTCTAGAACTTGAGTTTTGCCTGCACATCCATTTTACAGATCTAAAATGTACAGAGTGTTTCACTAGGAGTGGCCGAAGTAGTTGCACCTGTTAACAGTTCAGACACAGCACAGTATCTACGTCATATTGCAGTTTCACGAGTTCAGTTATCTGTGTGCACTGACTCAAACAGCTCCAGGTTACTGTGACAAGGCATGAGCAGACAATCTCCCCACCCCCCCCCCTAAAGTCAGCTGGTAACAGGACAGCCTTTTTACCATGTCTACTACAAACTATCAGCATGTACATAGTACTGGTATTCTGTTTATTAAAACACTTTCTACATTTCAAAATACATTTTCTACATTTCACAGTACACTTTCAATACAGTTCATTAAAAAAACAAAAATGGGGCCAGCTGCACAATAAAGGCTGGCTTCAATGTATCCACTACCAACTATGGGAATATTACATGGTTATACCCCAATGTGATTCTCCTAAACCAGCCACCACTAAAGTCAAACCCTGGTAAATGTCGAGTCTGACACTGAAATGCTTTCACTCACCTCTCAGTAACAATCACACACCTCACAAGTAAGAAGCTCCAGCTATTTATGGCTTAATTGTATGCAATAATTGCACCAGGGTAGCGTGTATAAGCATCATGGATTTGTAGCTGGCAAAACTGGCTCAGGGGACCTTGCAGTTGTTAGCCTTGTCTGAGAAGACTAAGTTCCCTAGCTCAGGGGACCTTGCAGTTGTTAGCCTTGTCTGAGAAGACTAGTTCCCTAGCTCAGGGGACCTTGCAGTTGTTAGCCTTGTCTGAGAAGACTAGTTCCCTAGCTCAGGGGACCTTGCAGTTGTTAGCCTTGTCTGAGAAGACTAGTTCCCTAGCTCAGGGGACCTTGCAGTTGTTAGCCTTGTCTGAGAAGACTAGTTCCCTAGCTCAGGGGACCTTGCAGTTGTTAGCCTTGTCTGAGAGGACTACGTCCCCTAGCTCACAACCCAAGAGATCAGCGAAACGTGTGATATCCTTAGAGTTCAATGGTTCTTGTAAAAAAATTCCTCAACCAATGCTGATGCTCAAACTGGGTACCCTGTCAGCATCGACAGCTGTGGCTTAGCCACTGCAGACCAGCTGGTAGTTCTAAATGATTCATTTTCAGTTGTGAGCGATTTGGCTCCATGAATGTTTCGTGCTGATTTCAACAATGGCATGCAGCACTTACCGGTTAGACAGCAACAGCAAACTACTAAATATAAAATTGCTGAGTAAAACCAAAAGAGGCAAACAGTGCTGCGGTTGGTTCTGCAACCTCCTGTAAAGGATTGACAACCAACTAACCCTGTGAATCTGAAATGGACATGTAACCTTTCGTCCACATCTAACCTTTAGGTCATTTCATGAAAAGGTCCACAATGGAGAAATGTCGATAACAAACGAAAAAAACTGAAAGAGCCAGGGGATGACATAGTAAAAACAGGCTAGACAATTTAATATGCCAATACAAGCAGAAACAGGAAATGACTGAAAATACACAAGAGGCTTACATCGTGGCAAGGAGAATCGCGTGAAATGACTGACAATACACAAGAGGCTTACATCGTGGCAAGGAGAATCGCGTGAAATGACTGACAATACACAAGAGGCTTACATCATGGCAAGGAGAATCGCATGAAATGACTGAAAATACACAAGAGGCTTACATCGTGGCAAGGAGAATCGCGTGAAATGACTGACAATACACAAGAGGCTTACATCGTGGCAAGGAGAATCGCGTGAAATGACTGACAATACACAAGAGGCTTACATCGTGGCGAGGAGAATCGCGTGAAATGACTGACAATACACAAGACAGTCCAACTCATGGCAAGATAAATGAGTGAGTCTAAAATCATAGTCATGAAAAACATGTGAAATGACTAAGAATACATAAGACAGGAGGTTGCTGACACCCACAATGGCCGACACCATTAATTACCAATTTAAGCAGAAGGCCGACTGAGATGTTGCTCTAGAAAATGGACACAATATGAAGAATTTGCTACAGTTCATATTTAAAGTATCATAAAAAAATAAGGCAAAAGTTGGTCCTCAAACGTGAAGTAGGATGTGTGATTTTCTTGGCACAAATATCTCTAAGGAGGTCACACAGCATATTATCTGGTCAGGACAAACAGTGAGATAACCACTGATTACATCCTGCAGAAATTAAGTCCATGTTTATCTATATTCTCTAGGTCCTGATTACATAACATGTTCTCTAGACTGATTACATCCTGCAGAATTCTGAGTCCATGGTATCTATATTCCCTAGGTCCTATATATCCACATTCCCTAGGACAATGTCCACTGATTCCCTACGACTGGTGTCTATTTTCCCTAGGACCAATGTCCACGTTTCCTAGTCAATGGCTATATGCTCATGTGCAAAGACAATCATTTCTTCAAATACTGTCTTGTGTGTCGTATCCAAGGGATGACTGTGCACGGCTGTACAGTCCTCTTCTCATATCTTTAACGGAATTAATATATAGTCACCTGCCAGATAAATTTCTGGGTTTACGATGTGAGATTGTGGAAAAAACTTCTCACTTTGCCTTTCTGGGCAAGTGACTCATTTCCCACTGAAAACTCTGGCATTGTCTGGATTTATTGTATCACTGTTCTGGATATGCCAGTTTGGGTTATGCACCATGAGGCTTCTGTAACTGATGCCCAACTGTCAACTTGCCAAATTTTGGCCCAAATTCTTTGGTCACATCTGGCTCAAACAAATTGAAGCACTATGATATGCCTCGCTGGCATGGTAGAATGTCAGCCTCGTTTGGCATGCAGCATTTCAGTCAGTAAAGTCTGGTCAGGCACTTCATTGCTGAGGTGTTTGAAGTAAAGAAAGTCTTCAGTGCGGATGGAGATGAGCCTGATCTCTGGCAGCCGCATCAGCAGCTGACTGTACTTGTCACTGACGTTGGGATACACTAGCCGGCAGTACTCCAGAAGGGCGGCAGTTACCTTTTCTTGACTCTGTTCAATGTAGGTTCGGTTCTCAAGGCCCGACACATCTGAGAGAGAAAAAAAGTCGACTGAGTTATTTGTGAGATGAAACATAATTTATCAATATTTCCTCTCCTATTTTCTACCTTTAGACTTCTTTCCTCTTCTACCCTGAGAAAAAAAAAGTTAGACTTTTCACACACTCTCAGATAATGGAACAGTGGCTAGTCCATTTCTATGACCAATGTACCTACCACCAAAGTCACTACAATCATAACTTTCTCACACTCTCAGATAATGGAACAGTGGCTAGTCCATTTCTATGACAAATGTACCACCAAAGTCACTACAATCATAACTTTCTCACACTCTCAGATAATGGAACAGTGGCTAGTCCATTTCTATGACAAATGTACCACCAACGTCACTACAATCATAACTTCAGCTGTGATTATAGTCAGCTTTAGCAGTGGAAGGCACACTGAAATGTGTTTTCAAAACAATGGCATCCAAGTACAGCAAACTATATAAATAAGTTATTTTCTTTCCTCTATAAGGACACCTTTTTTTTAATTATTATTATAACCGTACAAATGGGAAAGTAGTGGTAAAGGTGGCCAGTGTGGTGTTAGTAAAAACTGATCACAGCGAGCAAGATTGAAGGGCATAGTTGTTATTTTAATGTGGCCATGTTACGCCATCATACACCAGGTGAGCACTGGTGTAAACAACAAACAAAGGTCTAGCACTGTGTTCCTTTGTGTCAAAGGAGTGAAAAGGCTCCTTGAATTCAGTGGTTGACTTAAACATGAATAAAGAAAATTACTAGCAACACACTGGATCTTTTGTAATGACAATTCTAGTTTCCATAATTCAAACAGTGAACATGGGTATATACTTGTACATCACCAGTAGCCTCGGCCTCTATATTCACCCTATCTGTTCATAGCTCCAATCACTGCACAGACTTGTTGCAGGATATAATCCAACTGCATGACCTGGGCGTAAAGCACGGTGAAGCATGTCTATGCCACTGTCAATAATAACTAACTACTTTTGGAAACAAATCAGCACAAGTGTCTTGGCCTGGCTGTTGCATCTGAGGACTGAACAGGTATGGGAACACCCAATGTGCAGTGACATCCAGTGTCATAACATTTCTGCTCCATTTCCAATAATCTGATGTTCAGCATTTTTTATCTGCTTGTTTAGTTTGTGTACAAAATTATCCTGACTTCACCATGCTGTTTTCGATTCTACTGAGAAAAGGACTGTAGAATGAGTCCAGAATTTTGTCAGGTCTATCCTTATACATCAAAGGCTACAGAGAGGCCTAAACTCTCCCCCCCCCCCCCCCACTCTACTCTTGGGTGTAGACTTGTTCACTCTGCCCTCTCATATCATAGGATATGTGTGCATGGGGGTGGTGCATATTTTGCTCTCTCTTCTTCTTCTTCTTCTCTCTATGAAATGAGGAAAACCAAAAAGGCAGAATGTTTGATTGGCTTGTGTGCCCTCTGAAAATTAAGTCTGTTCATTCATTAGTTCTCTCTCTCTCAAACGGTGACCGATAAGTCTACCAGACAACTCTCACCTGGGTTGAGCAAAATGATAAACTTAAGGCACATGTACTCAGTCAGGTCCAGCTTCAACTCCCGGCCCTTCTTGACCAGCTCAAACACCTTAGCTCTAACATCTCCCAATCCTAGCTCGTCCAAAATGTCCAACCCGATCACATCTCCACTTGGCTGTTGACAGAACAAAGGAACACAGATAAAACATATACACAGAACACCGCAGTGTCTCATCAGCACAGTGATCAGAGGGTTCATTACAGCACAGACCCACTTTTTGGTTGTCTCACCGATACCATGTTGTAACCCGGTGTCGTGGCAGACCCATGCACCACTCCCCCTCCCCAACACACATGTTGTAAAAGACAACTAATTTGGGGTATTGCCTTTGAAGTCCGAGTGCATCTGCTTGAAAAGTGAGGAACCAACAGTCTGAATACAAATAAGCCAGATCTGTAAAACGGATGTGTAAGCAGAAGTCAAGTTATGAAACAAGATCGAAAGCCCAGAAGTGAACAAACAACCAGAACTTTGTGCTAGTTTCCAGTTGCGACCACTAAGATTTATATTATGACTGCAGTAAGGCAGGTTTTTTGTCATACCAACAGCAAAGGTAGAGAGAGACTGAGCCCCTATGACTGATCCTGAGATCATCTCAAGCTTCATCAAGTATGCTGTCTATGATTGATAAACAGAAGGCTTCCAGCCCCACAACCCCGTGTTGCTACAGGTGGGTTCTAGTCTGTGCCAGAGAATTCCCCACAATGCATCTCCATGTCAGTAACCTCTGACCTCCTGGCTGTGGCATCTATGCCATCACCCCCAGGATTGCTGGCACTATCTGAGACATAGCTGTAAATGTCATGCAACCAGGTGCCAGCTGACCATAGGCAATCGCTTGTGGAGTATGTCCACCCAACATGTGGCAAACCTGGCTCAGCTTGTATGTCCACACAACATGTAGCACACCTAGCTCAGCTATCACTTTCTGGTTTGCATGAGCAGCATATGCACTGTGGTTTGACCAGCGTTGTGACGGCAATTCTCTAAGGATACTCTCTCTTGCCAAAAACAGAAAGTAGACGTGTGTGAAAGGTTGTTTAACCAGTGTGTGAGAGATCTTTATCTAGAGATATAGATTCTTTCTCCTGCCGATGGATGCCAAAGACAGAAAGTAGACGTGTGTGGAAGGTTGTTTAACCAGTGTGTGAGAGATCTTTATCTAGAGATATAGATTCTTTCTCCTGCCGATGGATGCCAAAGACAGAAAGTAGAAGAGTGTGTGCCAAGGTTGTTTAACCAGTGTGTGAGAGATCTTTATCTAGAGATATAGATTCTTTCTCCTGCCGATGGATGCCAAAGACAGAAAGTAGACGTGTGTGGAAGGTTGTTTAACCAGTGTGTGAGAGATCTTTATCTAGAGATATAGATTCTTTCTCCTGCCGATGGATGCCAAAGACAGAAAGTAGACGTGTGTGGAAGGTTGTTTAACCAGTGTGTGAGAGATCTTTATCTAGAGATATAGATTCTTTCTCCTGCCGATGGATGCCAAAGACAGAAAGTAGACGTGTGTGGAAGGTTGTTTAACCAGTGTGTGAGAGATCTTTATCTAGAGATATAGATTCTTTCTCCTGCCGATGGATGCCAAAGACAGACAAGTAGACGTGTGTGGAAGGTTGTTTAAACCAGTGTGTGAGAGATCTTTATCTAGAGATATAGATTCTTTCTCCTGCCGATGGATGCCCAAAGACAGAAAGTAGACGTGTGTGGAAGGTTGTTTAAACCAGTGTGTGAGAGATCTTTATCTAGAGATATAGATTCTTCAGACCTGCCACATGGATGCCAAAGACAGAAAGTAGACGTGTGTGGAAGGTTGTTTAACCAGTGTGTGAGAGATCTTTATCTAGAGATTCTCTCTCCTATCAAGGGATGTCAAAGATAGAAAATAGGAAGGTTGTCTGAACAGTGGTGTGTGATCGGTGTAGGGCTGGAGATAAGGGAAATGGGAACTGCTGTCAAAGCACTAAACATGTGATGGTCATGATGTGCACACGGGCTACAGCAACAGTATTCGTAGTAACAGTATTAGTAGTAACAGTATTAGTAGTAGTAGAAGTCAGGAAAAATGAGCTCGTGTTGTGAATCAGCTGGAGAGATCTGGACAACTGGCCATGCCTCATGATAATAGTTTTAGTTATTGAGTTAAACTGCGTTAGATAATAGGTTGAATTATTTAGAACCATGTAAAAATGATGAAACAAAGGTAAAAGTAATAAAGCTCAGTATGTTGTATCTACATCAGACATTCTCGTGTGGACTGTGGCCGCATCCCGATAGTTTGTTGGTGTTGTCATGGCCTTGACTGTAGTCTTAATGTGCTTTGAGTGTATCACCAATGAACTCTGTGGCAGCACTCAACTCTTGGTATTCATCAAGCTCAGTGAGTCAGAGGTGAAGAACAAATGAGCATGTCGTCAGTGCAAGTTAAACAAACTTGATGCACACGTGCTCAGACCTTGCCACCTGCCTATTGACCCCTGACAATTGGGTAGCTCTCTGTTTTGAATCTGGTAAGACATGATCGCCCACGCCAGTCGGCAGGGCACCTGATGATGATGATGAAGACAATGTTGAAATTTACTCTGGGGTAAATGGAGGAAAGTCGCTGTTGCTACGGAGTTGCATGTGGACAGCGACATAGGCGAACAGTTTCTTATCAGCTGTCTGTACTGGTGGCAGAGCACTTATGGTTGATAACCATGTGCAATGACGCTGGTTCACATCTCCCGACTTTACCTTTGAGCAGAAATAATTTGGGCTCAGCACACAAACAGATAGGCAACTGAGGTAGACCAAGAACTAGATATCTGCAAGCCAGCCTCAAGGTCTTTAGTTTGAATCTGCACTGGGATGGGTCTGTTATAACTGACCTTGGCCCCCAGGTCAGCCCAGCATAGAATGGCTACTAGGTAATGTCCTGAAAAGTAAAGGCGGTCAGAGTTTTGCTGTCCACAAAACCAATCAGCTGCCGACTGGCTTGAGTCTAGCAGCACATTCCCAATGCACACAAAATAGGGGGGGGGGGGCTTAAGAGTTATGGAAAAACAATTCAGCGAGAGTCACACATGGGCTCTACAAGTGAACTGCAGAAAAAATGTTACATTCTACACAAGACTATGTCTTCGAGAGAATGTTTGCTAAAGCCCAAAGCATAGAGAAAACACGCCGGTGTAATTACCGTAACAATCTCCTTGCCCCAGACGTTGTGCACCTGGCGGTAGATAAAGTCCAGGATCAAGATCTCACTCCAGCTGTTGTGTAACAGTTTCATCTGATCCTCAACCTGCCGGAGAAAACAGCCACCAGGATCAGTAAATCACATAAAATAATGTCTCGTTTAGTGTAACAGTTTCAGCTAAATCCTCAACCTGCCAGAGAAAACAGCCACCAGGATCAGTAAATCACATAAAATAGTCTCATTTAGTGTAACAGTTTCATCTGATCCTCAACCTGCCAGAGGAAACAGCCACCAGGATCAGTAAATCACATAAAATAGTCTCATTTAGTGTAACAGTTTCATCTGATCCTCAACCTGCCAGAGGAAACAGCCACCAGGATCAGTAAATCACATAAAATAGTCTCATTTAGTGTAACAGTTTCATCTGATCCTCAACCTGCCAGAGGAAACAGCCACCAGGATCAGTAAATCACATAAAATAGTCTCATTTAGTGTAACAGTTTCAGCTAAATCCTCAACCTGCCGGAGAAAACAGCCACCAGGATAAACTAATCACACAAATTATGTCTCGTTAAAAATCAACTGACTAAAGCTGATGTGCCAGCATTAAACTCAGAGGTTCCCAGGTTCATTCCAATGAAAAGTAGGTTTCACCGGGACCATGGATTTTGTCAAAAAGTGTTATCCAACAAGGGCATCGTCGCACTCAGGATGTGGACACAGGTGCTTCATCTCTGAGAAGTTGGGGAATAGTAATGTTTATTTCTGTGACACATTTTGGTGATATTTCTGTGACACATTTTGGTGATATTTCTGTGACACATTTTGATGATGTTATTTCTGTGACACATTTTGGTGATATTTCTGTGACACATTTTGATGATGTTATTTCTGTGACACATTTTGATGATGATAGTTCTGTGACATGTTTTGATGATGTCTTTTGCATACTCAACACCCTGATGGTTTTGGTCACCAGACAACAAATATTGTATAAACAGGCAAGCAACTTTTTTCTGGGCCCAAATGTTCCTATAAAAAATGTAACGAATGGTCTCTTTATTAACACCAAATTTAGCCATCATCCTCACAGTCAAACAATGTAGTTCCTCATTATGAACAGAAACTGGGCGTTTAGGTCTAGTTGCATTAGCGATCATTTCTACACCACTTTTAAATCGTGAATACCACATAAAAATCTGTGCACGAGAGAAAAAAATATCATCCCCATAAATTTGCTGCATCAATGGTGCTTTTTCTGAGTTATAAAAAGAATTTAATGTTAACTTGTTTGGCTTCATGCTGATTATGTAACAATGCACCTCTGACTAGGTCAAAAAAAATTATTGCTTGTTTGTTGTCTGCTTTTTGGGGGTGGGGGTAAAAAAAATTGCCAGATCATAGATGAAGGCTGCCTCTTTGGATTCCATGCTTTGATTCATACATGGCATTTTTGTCTTGGCCACAATAAAATCTGTCTCATTACTTAATTGCAGACCTGTCAGAATTAGATCGTATATCATCCTGGTGCAACACCTCAGGGGCAACAATTAATCCATCAAAAGCGACAGTCACCTGGTTCTCAAATAATCACCTATCCAAAATACAAATGCCATAAAAAGCTAATGTGGAGAGATCTGATTCCATGAAATACCTGGACATAACATTGGACAGATGCTTAGCATTTAAAAAACACACAGACCACATTATAACCAAAGCTAAGAAAGGTCTCTCCGCAATAAATGTTATGGGAGCTGCAAACTTTGAGCAACGGCTACTTCTAATATTATATTGTGCATTATAGTTCTCTTCACAACTGAATAGGCATTGGCCAACACGACACTCAGCACCACACAGGTGAACAGACTGGAACAATCTGAAAAGGAGGCCATGCGTTTTATTCTTGGATGCACTCGAGACACCTCCTGTAAATCCATGCTATACCTCTTGGCTTTCCCCACAATGGAGAATAGAATCGAGCTGTCCAGGACCGTTGCTTTCTTCAAAGTGAAGTCAGATCATCGATACCCTTTTCCATGAGGAATTATTCAAGCAAAGAAGGAACAGACTTAAATGAGGCCAATCCTGGATAGGTCGGGCTGAGGAGGCCATAAAAAATGTTCGCCGCCTTACTGGCATTAATTGTGGAATTAAATGGATACCCATGCCTCCGGCTTCAAACATTAACATTACAGTCCACATCACCCTTGATGGAATCTGTAGAGAGCAGATTCCTGGCATTGTGGACACTTTAGTCAGGACACTGATTGATAAAAACACAAACAAAGGTGATGCTATAGTTTATACGGGTGAATCGGTAATTCGGGGCAAGCGAAGTGCATAGGCATTCACAAAAAGCTCAAGGGGGAAAACCATCAAAGAGATGAATGGCGCCTTTGCTGTTACAACTAGTAGTCTTAAAATTGAAACTATGGCTGTAACAAGGGTATCTATAGTTCATACACATGTGCATGCTTAGTGACTCAAAGAACATGCTTCACAAAAATCCAAGCTGATTGAATCAAGCAAGAATGAACTGCAACACTTATCACTTCGAAAATGGCTGCCCTAACCTTCATTCTTGTGCCAGGTTACGCGGGTGTTCAAGGGAACAAGCGTGCAGATTGTGCTATGGCTCGTCCAGTACCAGACAGAAGCGATGTTATCAATGCCATGCTCAGCACTTACCATGATGACGAGCACGCCAAAGGGCATGACTCCGTATCCCTGTCTAGACTGATGAACATGGGGGTGCAGTCTGGTGCAGCAAGAAATTAACATTCAACTAAGGGGACAAGACATTACATTAACCAACACAGAACAGGCATCATCAGTCGATTTACACTTGTGAAGCTTTTGAGGAGAAGATTGGAGCACCTACGAATCTGTCCGGAGTGCTGTGATGATAATCATTACCAATCAAAGGTCAGGCAGCTTCTTTGTTAGAGGCATACAGGTGGCATCATTGGAGTTTAGATGGCAGCATTGGAGTATATGTGGCAGCGTTTCTGGTGCCAAGTTGCAGGGACATGTTTCCATGTTTCCTATACTGATAAACTAGGGTTGGAGATTGGATATTTATAAACGCTGTACAAACCTTAATCTCTTTGAAGAACATAGAGCTCCGCGCCCACTCCACCATCAGAAACAACAGCTGGTCTACCATACGACACAAAACTGGCAGGAACTGCTCTGGGCTGGCAATGTCTGTCTGCAACAGCTCGTTCTGCATGAAGGTCACCATCTTGTGTTTGACCTGGTCAATCCAACATTCAAATATATCAGAACCATGTGTGCCGCTGATAGACACAGCACCACAGAAATCAAACATAATTCAGATGTATTTTATTTTAAATTTAGCCCATATAAGGGGACTGTGTGGTCTTGAGGCATGGTGTCTGCCTAGAGTGCTAGAGGTTCTGGATTCAATCCCCGGTAAGGGCTGGGATTTTTTCACATGGACTTGGACTACTTTTAATTCCCCCTGGTCTCTGGGTAGTGAGACCGGGTATAGATGTGCATTGTTACGCAAGTAAAAAATTCCTTGGCAGTATGAAATTGAAAACAGTAACCTAATTGTGCTGCCCGGGCAAAATTTGGAGTTTAAAATCTACCTAAAGTAATTTCAGGATCCTCGCCGGTGCTACAGAGCCGTTGCACTGTGCTGAGCTTTTTGAAAGACAAATCTTTGGACCCACCATAGATGCAAACAGCGGGAAATGGAGAGCAAAAAGCAACAAAGACATTCATAATCTGTTTAAATCACCACTGATCACTGGCATCATGAGAGCTAATTAACTGAAATGGCTGGTCATACTGAGAGGACAGAGACGTAGAAACTGTGTACACAAGGGAGCTGAATGGTTGTAGACTAGGGCTATGCAACAAAACTGATTCAATGGTGAAAATCTTGAAAATGGTTGATTGTCATGGGCCAGAGACCATCAAATACAACCTACGATGATCTGATGGCCACTGGTTCTGCCTCTGTGCAGGCCGCCAGTTGAACAGCTCTGTCGCAGACCATGAGGCAGACCAAGATGATGGGGAGATATATCCAGACAAAATGACAAACACTTGGTGTCACCAAATGGAACAAGAAGGCCAACCAGAGAGATGAACAGACGTGGGTGATAACTGTAGCAATGAACCTCTAGGGCTTGGAACACTGAATAAGAAGAAGATTTATTTCATCAAAATACCCGTGTGCCGCAACAGGAAAAATTATTCAGTGTAGTTAGGGGATAAACAAACCCACTGCCCCTACAAGCATGGCCACAGAATGTTAGTTGGGAGCTTGTTGAAAGCCATGTTCTGGACCAAAAAGTGGAGTCACATGCCAGCCGCCTTTTTTGAGGGTGAACACAGAAGGAGAATAAATGTTTGTATGTATTTTGACATTAAAAAATTTCACTTTCTGTTCCTTCTTCTTCTTTGCTTTTCTATCTGCCTTCTGTTTTGCTGGTTCCTTGCCGCTCAGGCAGATGCTCCTTACCTTCGAAGGAAGCACCCCTAATTAGTCAACTTTCACAAAGTGCTTTTAAGGGCAGAAATATGTCTATTCTTGGTTTTTTTTCACCTTCCACAAAAGGGCCCCGGAACCCACAGAAGAATGTACTGTTAATCAAACATAACATGCTTATGGGTACAGTTTAACTGCCATGTGAAACAAGACTGTCTGGAAGGGTCAAATAAAAGACGGACCTGCAGGCTCAATTTGTGATCCTCTATTCTTATTTCATATTTCCTCAAATGTCAATACCAACTGAATGGTAATCCATCAGACTTCAGCATTCACAGGTCTTCCATGGGATTCTAAACCAAGTTGCTCAGTTGTACAGAAAACTGAGTCACTTCCACTAAGCGTAACGTCAAACCGAGGAACAGTGAAGAAAGAATATGCCAAGCAACAGCAAGTGGTCACATGCTTGCAAAACACAGCCCTCACTAAAAACAGAAAAAGAGTTAAAAAGATAGAGAGAGACAATTACCTCAGCTTCATCCAGAAGAGTGGCTTTGATCTCACTAATTAAAGGTGACACCACTGGGCGATCCGTCTGTCCAGAGATCATAGATGCCTGGTAACATCTCAAGGCTTCTATGACACTGGGATAGCTGGGTTCACGGTCAGGTATGCCAGGCCCCAGTAAATTGTTGCCATGTCTCTGCTGAGAATTTCTGCCCAGGGACTGGTTGTGAGACACAAGGAAGTCTGGTAAGGCTTGGGTGTGTTGTGGCTGGTGACAAGCAGGCGGACTTGAGTCTGCTCGCTCCATGATGCTGTTACCTTTGTGGTGGTGGTGCTGCTGCTGCTGTTGGTGGTGGTGGTTTCTGTGAGGCTGCAGGTAGTAAGTCTTTGGACTTAGTGGGGACTGTGGAACTGCTGTGATATGGACAAAGTTCTGGGTGAAGTCCTGAGCTGATATGGGCACCAAACGATGAGGAGGTTGTTGGTGGTGGTGTTGTGTCTGATGAGGATGAGCTGGGGGCGGCGAGGAGCTCACCATGTGGCCTCCAGCAGACGTTGTGATTGAGGCAGAAGATGTAGGAGCAGCCGCGGATGCAGACAGACAGGCAGGGCCTGGCACAAGCCCCGGGATAAGGTTCGAGGTAGCAGAGTTCGACACAGCACCAACATACATATTGAGACTGTTCTGCAGCACGTGGGGGTCTGGTTTTACATCCTCCGGAGACCCAGGCGAGCCCACATCTAGCATCCCATTTGGCACAAGTGGTAGATCACTGCCTGGAAGGGCATGGCCATGCCGGGCAGCCTGCTGCTTCAGTGCTCTGTCTCTTTTATACATGGGCCCAAACTTATTGCGCCCACCTCTCATACGATCTGACCGAACAGCTGCACAGAATAATCAGTCAACAGTTAGAAACTCTCTAAATGAAAATCAGTTCACACATTTATTTACTTTTTAATTTCACAAAAACTAATTTATTATTTAATATTAGAATAACAAACAAATTCAGGATAATACTATAAGTAACAAAGCAGACAATTAAAAATATATTTTGTTACTTAGCTTTAGAAGTAACAAGTTGTTACAAGCAACCACACAATATTTATTAGATAACTTAAAAATACAAAAAATATGTAGTGAAGTGCTTGTTCAAAATCAAGAAAGACTAGGTGTTTAAAACAACAAATGTACTAACAGTAAAAGGAAGGCAAGTGTGTGGACTACAGGTGATATCTCAGTGGTTGCCATTTGGTGATCTGTGCAACAAAGTTAAAAGACCCGTAATATCAATTTTAAACACCCCAAACCACCCAAGAAGCATGTCATAAAAGTCTAGTTGTATTTCCTTTGAAGTTCGGGTGCATTTTCTCCTAGAGACAAGGAACCAACAGTCTGCATCAAATAACCCAGATCTGTAAAATGAATGTGCTTCCAATAATAAATACAGACAAAATTTTCAAATTTGCAGGACATCAGAAGCATCTCTAGGCGGTGGTGGCAAACTAGCTTGGTTTGGGGATGTGGTGAGACATGATTCGACTGCAAAGCCTGTGCTTCAAGAAATACTGGTGGGCAGTCAAAGAAGTATTGGGACAGCTATCCCCCCTCTTACAGCATAAGACAATTCCAATCAGCACAAAGAGACATCTTATTCAAAGCATATTTATTCCAACTCTGTGCTACCAGTGCCAGACATGGTCACTCACAACAAACCATAAAAGAAAATTAGTAACCACAGAAATGAGATGTCTGAGAAGGGCTGCAGGAGTGACCATACGAGATAAGATCAGGAATGAGATCATAAGAGAACAAGTCGGCACAGAACCAATTCTGGATTACATACAAAGACAGCAAGTGAAATGGTTTGCCCACTTAGAGAGAATGCCTTGTGACACCATATTTTACAAAGCATACATGGAAAGAGAAGAAAGACGTAGAGCACGGGATAGACCCAAAAAAAGAAGGGAGGATAACATCAGAGAAACTCTACAACAGCACGATGTGCCTATGGTCGAGGCAGCCAGAAGAGCTAGAAACAGAACCTTATATCTCCCTCGACACCCACAGCAGTAAAAGAGGAAGTGAAGAAGAAGAAGAAGTCAAAGAAGAGGAGGGCAAAGAAGAACCTGAAATGACATCATAAAGAAATGGACAGGACAAAATTATCATACACTTATTTAACAAGTGGAAGACAGAGAAAGTTAGTGGGTTTTGTGTGCTAATGCTTTAATCAATACACCTCCACGACCCTAACGAGTCAAGGGTTATGTTATATATTGTAATTAGTTCTAGGGTACAGCTATTTAAAATAAGTGGTTCGTCGTAGACCATGGAAAACAATAGGGTTTTCACAGATCTGAGACAGCTGGGAACCTCTGTGTTTTGTGTGATGATGATGATGATATAAACATTTACAGCAGACGTGAGAGCTAACCTTCCAGCTTCATGCCAACAGTCAGACACTTCTGGAAGCGGCAGTACGGACACCTCTTGCGCTGACTTTTGTCGATCTGGCAGCTGCGATTGTCCACACATGAATACACTTTCTTATTCTGGACCGTTCGCTTGAAGAAACCTATAAATAGCCAGTTCCATCATTAGCTTCTCTAGTAACTAAGTTTCTGTAAATAACAATACATTTGAAGGTGTATATAAAACACAGCAACTGTCTACATGATAGTAGGAGTAGAGTCTCATCATGTACGGAAAAATTACTGTCATTACGTAGTGCAGGATAAAATGCCAAGTTAAACCCAAATGGCTACATACTTAGTTCAGCGATTCTTCTAGGGTGCCGAGACCAGTCAAGAGGAAAGAACCCGCTTCTTCCATAGGACGTCATCTACTTAATTCCGGACACATAATTGACACAGACACTGCTTTCTGTGTGGTTTATCACACTCCGAACAGGAGACTTTTGAGAATCGCCGAAGCTTTAACAATAAAAAAATCAACAACCCCCCTCCCCCCCATTGTAAGCAGACAGAATTTATCTTAAATCTGAAGTTACCCCGGTAAGTCACGTGACTACGGTGAGCTTCCGGTGGCCATAAACACACACACACATGTCAGAAGAAACTATTTGCATTTCAGTTGAATTTATTCAGTTTTGAGCCTTATCTTATGTTGACGTAACTCTGTAGTAACGCACTTGACGAGATACATCAAAATATGCCTAGCAATAAATTGTGCAATGTATTGTTTGTGTCCCCATTATTTAAATTCATTACGGGGAAACACTGTTTTGAAGATCATATGTATTGTAAAACATTATTTGTCACTATAGAACTATCAAACATTGCTGGATGGATATTTCCTACTTACTCTGACAGTTAACCATTGAAGACTGCACTCACTCAATTTAAGTACATGCATTTTCACTATCATGGGCTCTGCTGGCTAAAGTGCTTTCACAGTAAATATATTGTACATTTTAGTAATACAGACACTCCCCTTAAATCCTTACAATGACTGCACAAATAATGTCAGTGTTTGAACTTTCTAATGACTCTACCAATCTCAGATATTCCAATATTTCTGCAAAAAAACAGCCACCTTAATTCAGATAAATCACATGGAACTCTACCCATGGGGTTACCACAGCGTCTTTTCTTCCACGCGCCATGATGAATAAACATGGCAGTGTAGAAGTAGAAGACACGTTTGTTACATATCTCGGGTGAAGCTGGGCATTACCTCGTGTGTGTGTGGAGGTGTTCTTTATTTCTCAATCTGAAGACAGGGAACTGAGTCCCGCAACAGTCTCCATGGAGACGGAACTTTGGTAATGGGTCAGAAGGACAAGCCTCTAGAACAAACTCAGGCAGACAGATGCAAAACCTTGTTCGTGGCTCAGACTATACAACTGTCAATGCTTCCTGTGTAGGTCCTATCTACCACTTCAGGAGGAAAAACAAGACAGAGGATTTGAGCAAACCGATGTGCTGAGCTGAAAGGTGTAGATATCACAACACAGGTCTCGAACATCCCGTGGTGAGTGAATCAGGGATACAAGGGAAAGCGTGAGACTGGAACGGAAGATGTGAGCCCAGAGAGGGTAGGAGGCAGTTGAAGTTTGGACCTTGATGTGTGCGGTCGTGTGCGAGAGAACAACTGATGGGAATGGAGAACGTATGACCATGTGTACTTGTTCGAGAGCAGAAATGAATGTTTCCTGATTGCCAGTTTCATCGTGTACAAACACCAGGTACAATACGCTAGTAAGATACAGATGTATGATCCGAATGATATGAGCTGAGAGAATCAGCATGTGAGATAATTGGCAAGGTCACCAGGAATCAGCCATGCATAGCGACCACGGTAGCGCCTACTAGTCAGTGAGATTGTGGCAACAGCGAATAAAGATCAATAACTGAATGTTTGTCCTCTGGTGTGTTCTAGCAACTGTGTGTACATCAATATAGCAATGTGAAGAATTGAATCAAACCCCTAGCAGAGCACATTGCACAACCCAACTGCAGACAATGGTACAATGTGCCAAACACCTGTTTTTTGGGGGGGTTTTGTAAATGTAATGGTTGAGACAAGAAGAATTTGAAGGCTCTAAATAGGAATTCAAGCCTTTCTAAGAACTATCAAGCAAAAAAAGCTACCTACTGACTTATCAGTTGTTAAAACTCAAACCATAACATTTTGGACATAACAGAACACTGACCTTTACAACTTTCACATGTGAGGAGGCCGTAATGGTAGCCAGAGACGCGGTCACCACAAACTGGACACTGCTCCTCATCTAGCCCAAGCTTGATATCTTTATAGTCCATGTCCAGGAGGGAGTTGGCTGTTCACACAAGAAACATATGAAACAAATGTCATTATTTCACTGCATGCGTTTAAATTTAAAATCTAACAAAACAATAATGAAGGTAGTTACTACACTTCAGAATAAAATCTCTGTGACTGGTTCTCTCTTTCTAATTGGTGACTCTAGTTCTGTTTGGGTTTTATCTCTCCAGTATCTTCTTGGTCTGCCCCATAGTCTTTAGTCATTCAACTCAGCTCTGTACAATTTTCGTCTCAGTCCACTGTCCTCAAGATGACAGACATAAACTGTTTGCTGATGAGATGAACAAATGTTGCTGATCTCTGCTGGGTTCTATCATGACCTCTATTTGATTCCACAACATCCTGTGTGGAGACTGCTGGCTATGTTTGCATCATCCCACACTTAATGTTGCCTCTTCCATCTATTTAAGACTACAGCAGCCATTTCCAGACATCCCACACTTAACATTGCCCCTCCCATCTACTTAAGACTGCAGCAGCCATCATTTGCCTACTTATCTTTTTTACACTTTTACGTATTTACCTGCCAACAGACTGATCAATTTGATCTTATAATTTACTCAGAGAAACTAATCTTTGCCACCATCATGCCCAGCTGTCCATTTTAAGCGCTCATTCATTCCGCTCTGAAAATGCCACACTGGAAACAGTTAAATCTCACTAGCCTAATTTTCATGGGAAATAAAAACTAATCAAATCTAGCCTCAAATCTGTGTTTATCAGATACTGACCCATTAAAACAAATGCATCGCTAAAACAAAACCAAATGCCGCTGGGACATATTATCTTAGACAAAGCAGAATGAATTGACTTCATTTACAACAATGAACGCTGCCTTGCCCATTGATCACAACTGACAGATTAAGGTTTCTTCTTGTGTACAGATAAAGTAGCCGAAGAGTGGGACATTTTTCTGAACTCTGTGAAACACAGACATAACAACGGGAAAACCGCTGGTCTGTTGATGAAGCTTAGACGACCAAATTTGAGGTAATTAGTCCTTTCTCAACCAATGATCCTCACATTGTGAAGTCTGCCTGCACCTCTGCAGAAATAATCTCACCAATACTACAACCCCATCTACTACTACCCTCAGCAGAGTTAAACTGTGCAGTTGTGAAGCATAGGAATCTCAGTAAAGGCAAGTGGGACTAGCAAGACCTGGGTGCACTAAGAAATGTCTTCCAGCATTACAGTGTGGCATTTCTGGACCACTGCATGCATGTCATATGATCCCTCTCAGCATTTAACCTATATGTGATCATTGATTCTTTATCCCTATTCCCTTCCTGATGCTCCTTCTCCATGCAACACGGTCCATGCCATCCTGTTCCCATGAAACTACCTCAGTGCCTGTTATTATTCACCTCCAGCTAGAACACATGTTTATACTGTAGAACAGGCCGACCCTGACATCCACCCATCAGTAATTCACCATAGAGGATATCCTTAGACACTCTTTCATCTTCCCTGTGTGACCTCGCCATCTGAAGCCTTCGAAGACAGAGCTTTGAGAAAACTGGTTATGCCTGCTCCTTTCCATGCTGCAGTGTTTGTGATCTTGCCTTGCCACTTAAAATGCCAAGAATTATTAGGCACAGAGATTGTTAAAGCTATTTGGCCATTTCTCGTGCTACAAATAAGTCAACCATGTTTCATTTCTGTCAAGAAGTGCAAGAGTGATTATTTTGATTACACCTTACTAACACAGCATTTTCTAATTTATCTACAGATGTATCTGTACTAATCTATCTATTTTCTCTACTTTTAGTAATATATATATAAACTACAAATACTACTAATAGTGGTAATGTTTCTATTATTTTTTTTTTAAATAACATCCCACTGTCTGCATTTACCATTTTTACAGTGGAGTGGAGGCACTACAACTCTAACTTGTATGTTGTAAAAGTTGATTAACTAACTAATGAAAAGTGTTTCCCTGTGTCAGAGTTTATATCTGCCTGAGAGGCCAAAAGCCAGCAGTCTGCACACAAATAAGCCAGGTCTGTAAAATGGATGTGCACGCAAAACTCAAAATCTGAAATATGACTAACATCCAGAAGTGGATGAACAACCAGAGCTTTCCACCAGAGATAACAGCTGGTGACCCTGAAGAAGAATACAAATACTCGTACTGCTGGTAGTGGTTCAAAACCATGCATACCTACAATTTCCACACTGATCTATAAGCCCCGCCCACCTCTAAAACCCCCTTTACTTCCCTGAACACCAGCTCTGCCTTACACTTTCCCCATTTCAAATCAATATCAATTATTGTATTACTGACACTAGTGCAGCAATCAAGCATCCACTTCTTATTAATGACTTACGCAATGTCTACTTGTGCTGTGTGTTCTAATGAAGGGAAAGTACAAATTATTCTTATAGTAACAGATCTGCACAGTGACTGAATGGAAAACTTTGTTACTTTAGCAACTTGTCTAATAAACATAGAAATTATTCCATGAAGCCATATGTCTTTTTCATTTATAAATCTCAGTTCTTTTCAATAGCTGTGTTATGAAATATTGGAGCTGCTATTATTGTGCTTACATGTGACAACTTTAACAATAATATCCTCATCTTTTCTTGTTTTTCTTGAGATGACTTCCGGTGTAAACAGCCACAATGGCGGCACGCTTTTTCGTCCGTTGAGGCGAATGGCGCAAATTAACTATTTTCGCTCACGTATAATGTGAAAGTTTCATCGGAATGGGGTCTGAACCGTGCAATGGAGTACATGCACGTGAGTTCAGACTTCCCTCAGGGTGTATTCAACGTCCGATGGCGACTATCTACCAATTCAAAACAACCCGTAGACGGATGAGGAGAACGCGAACAGGCAAGCACGGTGGCGCCTGCAGGAAGCGACTGAAATGTGAGAGACTCAGCTTAAAGTATGTTCGCGTTCTCTACTGGAACTGCGCCTCGTTCCGTCAACGCCGACCCATTTTCGAGAAGCTCCTCTACAGCAACGACATTGTTGTATTACAGGAAACACACCTCGGTGACGAGATGGTTAAAATTGCGGGCTTCCAATCCTTCTACAATAGACGGCACCTCGGACAGCTCATTCTTGTTCGTGACCACATACTGGTGTCTGAGGTGGACATGTCTGAGTGGGATAATGACGACCTACAAGTACACGCAGTCAGAGTGATGGGCCCGGCCCAGTTTGTGATTGTCAATGTGTACGCCTGCAATGGAAAGGTGGATACAGCGAAATGGCAGAGTTTGCTCCAGACTGAGGAAAAGAAAGTCCTTTACTGCGGAGATTTTCAACGCCAGAGGAAACCAGTGGGGCAATGTAATTACCAATAAACAGGGGGAAGACCTGGAGGATGCTCTAGTGTCTGCCGATCTAGTATGCTTGAACGACGGAAAGGTTACCCGAATAGCAACCCGACAAGGGGATTCTGACAGCGTAATTGACCTGGCCCTAGTGTCTCCCTCCATTGCACCAGGATGCAGGTGGAGCACACTGGGATACCATGACAGTGATCACTTTCCGTGCGTCGTCCTGGTGGAGAAGAGCAACAACAAAGGTCATGTAATCAATGTGCCTGCTTTTATATATGACCGTACAGGGCAAGATGCCATTAGCAAAATCAGACGACGTAATACAAGAGCAGATCGCAGACGGCGGGAGAGATGGGCCCAGCCACCATGGTGGAATGAAGTAGTCAACATAGCGTGGCTAGAAAAAAGGAACGCTGTCAAGGCATGGCAAAAGGCAAGGAAAATTGATCCGTCACTTTCTGAACGCCTGATCAGTCTGAAAGATGAGGTCAACAAGCGGACAGTGGCTTTCAAGTTAATTGCGAAAGAAGCCAAGACAGCGAAATGGAACGAATTCTGCAAGAGCGTTTGCTCCGAGGGATCTCTTGTGACATTCTGGCGCCTTCAACGGAGCATGCACGGCGCCGCACGACCAAGGGGTATCCCTGATTTTCAGGGTACAGACCTGATATGGCAGAGAACTGATGCTGATAAAGGAAAAACCCTCCTTGCGCGCTACTTGGAGCAAACTGACCAAAAAGACGAAGCTGCAAGAATAGGGGTTAAGATGAAACTGTCGATGCTGTGCGAGAACACTGAGCTAGGCACTGATTTCACAATCACTGCAGACACCTTAAGAACTTGCCTCAAGAAATCGCGCAGCACTGCTCCAGGTCCTGACGGCATCCGATACAATGACATGCTGATGATGTCGAATGCTGATTTGAAAAGCGTGGCAAAGGAATTCAATATCAGCATCCAGAGTGGCCAGATACAAGAGGAATGGCTCCATAGTTATTTGTTTCCACTACCAAAGCCTAATAAAGACCACTCAAAGATCTGCGGCTACAGAATCATCTTGATGCAGAATACTGTTGGCAAACTTTTGGAAAAAATTGTCGCACAAAGATTGACCACCTACTTGGAACTACATGATAAGTTCCCATCAACACTTGGAGGGTACAGATTGAAGAAAGAGACATGGTCCAATGCTGCTGTTTTCGCCTACGATGTGTACGAGGGATTTCAGATTAAAGAAGAGACATGTGCGGCAGTGTTGGACTTAGAAGATGCCTACAATAAAGTACCATATGATTATTTAATGCAATTACTGCTTAAACTAGAAGTCAATCCTATTCTGATCCGCTGGATTGCTGCGGTCCTGTTCCAGAGAAAGATTGTACTAAGATGTGGTAGCTGGTCCTCAGAACCGCAAACGATATGTCCAGGCTTGCCACAGGGATCACCGCTATCACCAGTCTTATTCAATGTTTATACGGTGATGATCACTGAGCAGCAGTTGAATGGAAAGGGAAGGACTTTGTCATTTGCTGATGACATTTTGATTTATCGACGAGGGCGTGATAGACAGGAGATCGCCAGCACAATGCACAAAGAACTCGATCGAATTGCCGCCTGGTGTGATGGTTCCAATGCCTATGTCAATCCCTCGAAGGCATCAGTGTCATGGTTCTCTTTGAACAATCACATTGTCAAGTCGGACTTACCAGAAGTGAAAATGCGTGATAATGTATTGATCAGAAACCAACGTTATGACGTTTCTCGGGGTGAGGTTCGCTCGCAGCTTGTCATTCAGGGAACACGTTGACCATGCGATAACAAAAGCACGCAAAGGTCTATCTGCAATGAGGATTATGGCTGCTTCCAATATCGAGCAAAGACTGCTGGTGCTTCTATTCTATGGTCTGGTCCTTTCCCCCATTGAATACGCTCTGGCCATCCTCACTGTCAGTGCTACCCAGATTGAACGACTCGAGAAGGTGCAAAATGAAGCCATGCGTATTATTTTGGATGTACAAGAGACACATCTTGTGGAGCAATGAGGTATCTACTTGACTTTCCAACAATGAACCAAAGGATCAGGATGTGGAGGGCTCGGGCATACCTCAAAATATGTGCTGATAAGAAACACCCACTGCATCAAGCGCTTTTTAGTGAAAAGGGCGACAGACTGAAGAGGGGAAAATCGTGGCTAGGTCGGGCAGAAGATGTTATTAGGCAAATATGCAGCCTAACCGACATCATACCTGGTGCAGAATGGATACCTGTGCCTCAGGCGTTTATTTGTAATTTTCCTGTATTGTCACACTCAACAGGCGATGTAGAGAAGATAATCCTGTTGCTGTTAATGCAGAGGTCAACGCTCTCATCGGTGAAAATTCAGACGAAGCAGATGCACTAATCTATACAGACGGATCCGTTATACGCCAAAGAAGAAGCGCATGGGCATTTACAGCACGCTCAGCGGGCAGAACAGTCAAAGAAGCCAACGGCGCCTTCTCCATGACAACCAGCAGCATGACGATGGAGGTGATGGCAGTGACGCAAGCGTTTGTCTGGCTTGAAACACAAAAATACACCCGCATATGTATACTCAGTGATTCAATGAGTATGATCCGGAGGGTTCAGGCAGGTTCAGTGCGAAGACAATGGCTTGAATCAATTCAGAAGTCCACTGTGCGAGGAGTCACCTTTATTTTTGTTCCGGGAATACGCAGGCGTCGATGGAAATGAAAGAGCTGACAGGTTGGCTGGATCCGCTATCACTACCGACGGTCGGCCTATGGATCATGCTGATATTATCAATGCCCTCAGAGAAATGGGAAGGATAGAGGACTTTGGTGGCAGTGAATCCACATCACTCGCCAGAATGGCAGACTTGGGAATTAAGATCGGCACAGCAAAAAACGAGACGCACACCGGACACGTCAGAAGACTTGTTAATCAACATAGAACTGGTACTATTAGCCATCGGACGTTGGGATTCATACTGAGGGGAGGATCTGAGCACCTATGGACATGTCCGGAGTGCAATGATGATAACCCAACTAACTAACTAACTAACTAATTTTCTTGAGATATATCAGAAGTTATATGTATTGTCCAGCTTGCACACATGTATAAATATGCATATATTCTTTAGTTGTAAAACAATCATCATCAATCGTCTGATACTCTTGTATGTCTGATCTGTTAGTGCCTGTTTTGTCTGTCTTGACCTGAGTGTTGAATGGTGATCTATGGAAGTCCCTGTCTAGGTTAGGGACAAGGGGGGGGAGGGGGAGATAGTACTGTGGGCAAAACAAGATTAAACACCCTGCTTTCCCAATAAGCAAGATGTAGGAGTCGACTAATTGAGGACTTCTCCTGAAGTCGGAGTGCATCTGCCTGAGCAGCAAGGAACAACTAACCACACACAAACAAGCCAGCAAAACAGATATACATGCTAAATGCAGGTCCTGGCACAAGTCCAAATGGACTAACAACGAGGACTTTCCACCGGAGCTTACAGCTGGTGAACAAAGTACATGCAAGCTTGAGTATTAGAGCCTATGAGCCAGATTAAAACCAGGAATGAAGCTTGCCCCCCTCCAAGCCCATGCAGTATTGTAGAGAGCATATGTTGCTCCTTCAGTATGATCCCTCTCCCAGTCTGCCTTGTTTACCCCACAGGAAAAGTAACATCAATGCATCTAGGAAAAAAAGAGGCTGGATCAGTAGAGCGCTGATCTGTGAGAGCTTTCTTCCTGAACCAGCTGCCAACCAAGGCTTAGGGCCTGGTCTGTCCTACCACAGCATTAAATTTCCAGGATGAATTTTCCCTTTCTAGGACTGGACTAGTTTCCTTTCCAACCGACGTTTGAAATAAATACATATAATGATCTGATTTGCTCAAATCTCATTCCTGCTCTTCTCCACATTGTGTGGTAGAGATGCCTCAAGTGAAGGCTCCTTCGCTACACACACAAAAATCAATCTAGTGCCGTGTCCATAATGAAGGCTGGGTGCAACGGATCTTTAACACACTCTGTCTCTTGTCTTGGTTCTACAGCTTCTCAGACTACTGTTTATCCAGCTCATTATGTTGTCCTCCCACTTGTATCGTCTACCTGTTGCTCTTTCACCCTTCTCTCCAGTGTAGTTTTCAAGAGTTTTTGTAATGTAGCCAAGATATTTCCACCGACTTCTATTTTTTTTTTAGTAGTTCTCTTTTCATTCCTCTTTCCAGAACTTCTCTATTTTATATTTGCAGAGACTCAGAGACTCAATTTGATTTTTTAGATGCCTGTTCATTATCTCAGTTTTTGCACAAAACACCATGACTAAGTATACATAACATTTGATGATTCTCATTTCACAATAAACGGTAGACAAGGTCCAACAGGCATAATATGGCTCTACTTTGAACGGCGCCTTAAAATGGAGGCCATAATATGATGCCGTTCGAAAGAGAGCTAAACTGGCCACATTCTGGCCATAAAATATCCTAAAATATCCAAATGCGGCTCAGTTCTATTAAAAATATATGTGCCGGCTCGGTATAACGAAACAAATGCTCTAACAGAGTCTCGGCGATATGTTACTTGCGGACTTGCCTTTGCGAGTGTGCCTCACCGCGGACCGTATCCTCCGTGCTGCTACGCGTGGCGCGGATGGGGACTAAACTAGATGGCTGGGACTCACGAGCAGCAGCTACCGCATCTCCTGCAACTTCCTCCAGTTACTTTACTCGTGAGTCCCAGGCACCAGGTTTAGCACCCCCCCCCCCCTATCTGTGCCGACGTAGCGGCGTGGGGGCTACGCTCGGCGATGAGTTTAATCGCGTTTGGCGCATGCCGACAAGTCTGACATCTACCGCTGCTAAATCCTCCCATCGGAAGAACACAGTATTGCTAATCAGCTTTCATCGTCTGTAATGTCTCAAAATTGGTCAATGGTCGCTAATACCATCTGCTAGTATCGTCGTCTGCAGAAACACTCGAAATTGTCCAACGGTCGGTATTTATCGTCTGCTACTACCGTGTGCAATGTTGATATTGATTGTCAAGTAATCCTAGTTTTGCCCCGATTTGTCCCTTGGCAGAAAGTCAGTATTTTAGATACGCCTAAACACCGTTCTGATATTTTTTGGCCAGAATGTGGCATCATATTACAGCCGCCATTTTAAGGCGCTGTTCAAAGTAGAGCTAATCAAAACACTGTAGACGACTGTATAACAGCAACAATCCATTTCAAATGTGTTAATTCGTCAAAGTGAACAACACCAGGAAGTGAGCATACCAACTGTGTATTATGAGATCAGGATTGACATTGCGAGCGAGCATGAAATAATGTACAGGAACTCACCGACATTGTCCAATAGCAAATCACTCCTAATGTCCTCACACTCACTCTCAATGAAGATTAGATTCCATATCTAATCATAAATACTTTTACTTCACAATATTTCTAAAGGTCAACAGCTCAACCTCGAAACAATACCGGTCTCTCAAAAAGTCAGCATGCAGTCCAATACTGATAAACACAAGTACGTCATAATTCCAGCAGTCCCGATGAGCTAACACATCAGTGTTAAAAAAAATTCTGCTTCCCGCAAAAATTGCTGTAACACCCAACAACCAGGCTAAATTTCACTGTGGGATACCAGGGTAAATCTTCCCTTAGGATCAAGCCACACCATGACATCAACGTCCACCTCCTTGGACTTCACAGCGAATCTCTCAGTTCCATCACCTAATAACAATACATAATGCTTATGACGTCTTATTTGCCTAGTAAATATTGGTGTGTTTTTGTGCATAACTTAACTGCATGCGACCCCCCCCCCCCCCCCCCCCCGAACTGCAAAAGTGATAAATACAGGCAGTAATTGGCAGCTGGTGTTTTTTTTTTTGGGGGGGGGGGGGGGTTTTTCTTAGTATTATTATCACATACTGATTACTTTTATCAGCTGACTGTGAACAAGAATTAGCGAAATGTTAACTGATCTTTCAACGTGTATTAGCTTATAAATGATCCTCATTAAACACATGACACTCTATCCCCAAATTTTAGGACAATTTAATAATTTGGTTAATAGTTTAGAAAAAAATTATATATTATAACTCAAACTGTGCGGGAAAAAAGTTATATAGTGAGAAATAGCTTAAACTATATAATAACTGTGTAGGGGTATATTTTAATTTACACAGTATATCTAATTTTAAAAAGAAAAAGAGAATATATGTCAGAATGAGAACGACTTGGGCTTGTCTGTTTTCTCAATTTCTGGGTGTGGCAAAGCTACCCAGCGTTTAAGCTTAGCAACCACGACTGTGTTTCGTTTCATCTTGCTCGGCTATAGAGGGCTCGCTAGAACCAGTGTTACTGCACTAGGAATTGTGAAGAAAAAAAAGTAAATAAAACAACTTTGTGACATGATCTAACAAAGTAACGATACCGGCCGTAAGTTCAGCAGAACGTGTACATTGATTTGATTTTGCCAAACAGAAACAGCACAATGTGACCATGAAAGTCACACACTGGACAACCACGAGGGACTCAACTGATGGTCTTTTGTTATCTACTTCTTTTAGCTAAATAAAACACAACATCACAACACGAATGAACTGTACCATCCGGATCATCCTTTGAGGAGACTTCGTCCATCTCCTGTAAAACAACGTGCGAAGAAGACCCCGCCGGAGCAGCCAGTCGATGCTGCTGTCCCGGGTTGTTGTTGTTTTTGCCGACCCCAAGAAAACCCCGCTGGCCATCGTTTGACCGCTCGGGAGACGCGCTCTCAATAAGATCCAGAATTTCGATGGTCTCGATCATACCAGAAATGAGTTCTGCAGGATAATGAGCCGGGACAAAGTCATATTTTGCGGAGACAAGGCTCACAGCTGATCAAGTTTTATCTCCAGACTTCTGCAACTCCAAACGCCAGTTCCTCTACTGGAGGTGCACTGCGCATGCGCCGCCCTGGCTCTCTCCACGATATAGGTCAGGCTGAGGTAGCAGTAAACATTCGAATGGAGTTCCGCCCGTTTTACATAAACTATTTAAACACATTTTTACTTCTATACTTCAATCATAATTTGTATCAACATATTCACATAATAAAACTGAATATAAAACATTTAATATAATTATTAATCTATGTTAACCTATTTTTAAATTCTGCTAAATTTAAATGATTTCACACTATCCTGTCGATTTCAGCACATGCCTGCAACGTGCATGTTTTCAGCAGATTCCAAAATGTGTTGCTGTCTTGTAACGGGAACGACCCCCAAGTTACATGACTCACAGAAATTAATAATCTATACTGATTTCAGTTGTGACGTGCACAATAAATAATCCAGTCCTTTAAGTGAGTTATGTGAAATAAATTTCAGTTTAATACCCTAACGAATAAAGCCCTTGGGGTTGTGCACATTTATAATTGTACACCGGAAACTGCTTCGTGTTGAGAAAAGGGGTTATGAATTTGGTGATGACATGAAAGCCGCTCTTAGCCTTGTTGGATCAAACAGCGATTGCCGTCTCCACTATCAAGGACGGCTGTAGTGAACCTCTAGTATTTTCTGGGTCACAATAGAGGATATACAATAGAGCCTGTTGAGACGAGGGGACAAATCATAGAGGGGTTCATCATATTCCCATAACACTGCGTCTCGTGAGGTCACCAGTTTCTGTTAACTGATCAGCTCTTGCCACCTTTGGCGGTCAGTTGTGATGGACTTCGTGTTTGCATGCCTGAGGCCTGTCCAGTCAGTCAGGTTCTGTAACCAGGTCTTTCTTGGTCTGCCTCTTCTCCTCGTTCCCTCTACTGAGCCCTGCGGTATTGTTTTTGAGAGACCTTTAGATCTTATCACATATCCATACCATTGCATTTTTCATCTATTCGCAGTAGTTAAAAGAGGTTTATAGTTACCAAAGTGCTGTATAATTATATGGCAAACCTCTTCATTGGTAATATTGTCTCTGTATGATATGTCAATAATTTTTCTGAAGCATCGCATTTCCAATGCTTGTATCTTCCTTTCGAGTTCAGCTGTTAAGGTCCACATTTCACAGCCATATGTAAATTTACTAATAGCTAGTGCTCTGAGCAATCGAATCTTAGTTTTGCATGAAATGTTTTTGGATCTCCATAATGTTTGCTGCTTGGCAAGGACTGGTGTTGTCTAGGCACGTAGTTAGGTAATTGTACCCCACCAGGACATCACACAAGCGATAAACACTCGGTGACACAAAATACCCTCACGTGGATGAGAATCATTCGTGGAGAGGTCCCAGAAACCCCCTTCAGACGTTAGGCCATATTTATGACCCGGCTACATTCAGGGCCCTCGGCAAAAGCTAGGATGGGGTTTCAAAATAACAAAGAAATGGCATCCCACAAGGGGACGACTATATACCCTCAGTGTCTGAGCAATCTTAGACCTGATTTTTGGTCTTGATTCCAGGTCACTTAAAATGGATCTTAAATATTTGAAATGATTGACTTGTTCTAGTGTGTGACCTTTAACGTACACTTGTGAAGTTATGATTTTTGTTTTGTTTTTCTGCGTTTTTTTTTTTTTTTTTCTGCATTTTTCCATGCCATAATTAGTCGATGTTTCATTTAGCAGATTTACAAGCTCGTCTAGCTCTTGTTCTTCCCCTGGCAATCCATCGATGTCATCTGCAAACTTTAAGTTTGTTATAGTTCGATGCCCTATACTAACTTTTCCACGATGTTGTTCTACTGCATCGTGATACCAGCTAAGTGATTTTTTTGTATCTATGTAGTATTGTTTATTTTGTGTGTGCTGATGAAGGCTCAATAGCCGCAACGTTCACGTTTTGTTTGTATTTGTTATATTGTGAAACTTGCTGATATACTTTTCGTTCGGGTTTATATCTTTTCTTAACAAGATATTAAACCGTGTTGGGGAGAGGACTCCTAATATTGTTCGGAACCAGCTCCCTATTTGTCCGTTCAGCGTGACAGCACTGCTGGTCTTGGCATAAAGCTGTTCTATAACACGTATGAGGGTTTTACCCACATTGTACGTTTTTATGGTGAGGGGATTAGAACGGAGCAATGCCCGTGTGGGGTCTGGGCCCCATTATGAGGAAGCAAGAACAGACCCACTGCTCCCTAACAATTATGTCGTGAGTCGACTAATTTTGGGGAATTTCCCTAGAAGTCGGAGTGCATCTGCCTGAGAGGCAAAGAACCAACAGTCTGCGTACAAATAAGGCAGGTCTGTAAAGCGGATGTGCATGCAACATTCAAGTTCTGGAATCAGACTAATATCCAGAAATGGACGAACAAACAGAACTTTCCGCCGGAGTTTACAGCAGGTGAACGCGAAGAAGAAGAGAATAAAGGAATAAATGATTGCAGAAAGAATGAAAGCTGCGTGTCTGAGAAGAAACACATTCAGTCAGGAAACTGCTTGTTCTAACTGTGAATTAATCAAGTAACAGAAAGTATTGTGAACGGCACTCATAGAAAGAAGTAGAAAGATAGAAGAACACACTAGACAACATAAAAATCGAAAGCTATAGTTACCGTGCCGGGAATTGAACCTGTCACCTCCAGACGGCGTCTGCGCCTCGCCATGAATACAAGTGCACTAAGATACATGGTCAACTCGGCACCCCCAAAAAAAGGTGTCTCATTGGCCATGTCAATCGTACAGCTTAAAATCCACGACTATGGAATACGGACAGAATTCAATTCAACCCATTGAAATGGCACCATAGGTTACAGAAATTTATATTAACGAGGCAAATGTCAAATAACAATCACAGCAACAATTTACGTACACAGTAGACCTTATTGCCTTGTCTAGAATACACAAACATTTAAGAAAGGTATTTGATTGGTAGGTTCCGGTGTGTATACGTCATTGTTCTAACTGTGAACGACTAGCAGGTCTTGCTGGTGACACCCGCCATGGCCAAGGGCTGGGCGTCCCATGTCTCCTCACAGCGCAGTATAGTCTAGAAAGACGGAAAGGTGCCAGCAACAACAGAGACCGCCGGGCAGTATTGGTGAGGAAGAGAGGGAGGGATGCCGACACAAACAAAATATTTGAGGGCCCTAAGCCTTCTTTAACCGCCTTATGACAATAATAATACATATCATAGTTTAAAATATAATACGGTACTTAAAATAAAAGGGAACCTAAGCCTTCTTTAAGCGCCTTGTGACAATAATAATACATATCATAGTTTAAAATATAATACGGTACTTAAAATAAAAGGGAATGCTTAATCCATTTGTTCCAGATTCAGCTTGTAAGCGTGGTTATGGGGACGTTTATATCCTTTACAAATCTTTACCCGCACTCCCTAATATTTGTAAAAGGGAGGGGGAGGGGGGCACCAAAGGGTAAAACCTCCATGTCTAGCAGTGTTGTGGAAATCTGGACAAGCGTTAATTATTTATTGCTATTTATTTCTTCTAAAAGAGATGACACCGTATTACAGATTTAAAAAAAAAAAACTGACTTAAGACAAATCTTTGGACCCACCAAACATGCCAACAGCGGGGAATGGAGAGCAGGAAGCAACAAAGAAATTCATAATCTGTTTAAACCACCACTGATCACTGGCATCATGAAAGCTAATCAACTGAAATGGCTGGTCATACTGAGAGGACAGAGAGGTAGAAACTGTGTACACAAGAGAGCTGAATGGTTGTAGACTAGGGCTATGCAACAAAACTGATTGAGTGGTGAAAATCTTGAAAATGGTGACTGTCATGGGCCAGTTCCGGTTCTTATATGTGGGGGAGGGGGAGGCAATTTTTACAAGAGTTATTAAAGGCACACCAATATTATATTATTATTATGTAAGGACCATTTGTCGGGTATTATGTAAGGACCAGTATTATATTATTATATAAGGACCAGTATTCAGGTATTATGTAAGGACCAGTATTCAGGTATTATATAAGGACCAGTATTCGGGTATTATGTAAGGACCAGTATTATATTATTATGTAAGGACCAGTATTATATTATTATGTAAGGACCAGTATTATATTATTATGTAAGGACCAGTATTATATTATTATGTAAGGACCAGTATTATATTATTATGTAAGGACCAGTATTATATTATTATATAAGGACCAGTATTCAGGTATTATATAAGGACCAGTATTCGCGTATTATATAAGGACCAGTATTCGGGTATTATATAAGGACCAGTATTCGGGTATTATATAAGGACCAGTATTCGGGTATTATATAAGGACCAGTATTCGAGTATTATATAAGGACCAGTATTCGGGTATTATATAAGGACCAGTATTCGAGTATTATATAAGGACCAGTATTCGGGTATTATATAAGGACCAGTATTCGGGTATTATATAAGGACCAGTATTCGGGTATTATATAAGGACCAGTATTCGGGTATTATATAAGGACCAGTATTCGGGTATTATATAAGGACCAGTATTCGGGTATTATATAAGGACCAGTATTCGGGTATTATATAAGGACCAGTATTCGAGTATTATATAAGGATTCGGGTATTATATAAGGACCAGTATTCGGGTATTATATAAGGACCAGTATTCGGGTATTATATAAGGACCAGTATTCGGGTATTATATAAGGACCAGTATTCGGGTATTATATAAGGACCAGTATTCGGGTATTATATAAGGACCAGTATTCGAGTATTATATAAGGACCAGTATTCGGGTATTATATAAGGACCAGTATTCGAGTATTATATAAGGACCAGTATTATATAGTGATTGGGATATTATGAGGAAAGTTATGGTGCGAGGCGTGCCAGAAAAGGGGAAGTAATGGTGCAAG